AATACCAAAATTTCTTGGTTGTTTGATTACTCAATCACTAAATTAGGCACACGGTCTTCTGTTATGGATTGAACTGTGTGAGTGTGTGTGTCCCCAAATATGTGTCAACTTGGCTGGACCATGATTCTCTATGGTTTGTAACGATATAATCTGGCAATTATGTAATGAGGTAATCATGCCCATGATGTGATCTGATGTGATCACTCAAGCAGTTGTAAGGAGATTAGGGTAGGATGCAACATTCTTAGTCAGGCCACAGTCTTGATCCAATGTAAGGAGAGTTTCCTTGGGGGGGTGGCCTATATCATCTCTCAGCTTATAACAGATAAAAGGAGAGAGTGACCTCAGTACCAGCAAGAAAGAAGAACCAAGAGCGAAGCATGTCCCTTGGACCCAGGGTCCCAGCACTGAGAACCTCATAGACTCAGGGGAAGATGGATGCCAAGACACATGGAGATCTCCAAGGAACACCAAGCCCACAGAAGATGAAAGGCTACAATGACCTTCCTCCTAAACTGTGAGCTGACAGAGAAAGCCTTTCCATAGAGCTGGAGCCCTGAGTTCAGACCTCTAGCCTCCTGAACTGTAAGAGAATAAACTTCTGTTTGTTAAAGCCATTCATTTGTGGTATTTCTGTTATAGCAGCACTAGATAACTAAGACAGTCTCTTGAAGCTAGAATTTCTGTACTTAGTCACTGAAATGGTAGAAGCAGCAGAGGAGGGGGAAAGGAAAAGGCTCCTGGCTAGTATCTCTATTTCTAGGAAACAGTTTTAGATTATAACCATAAGTCTCTATGTGCATTTTTTGTAAAGTATCTGTGTTTATTGTGGACAATGTTTATTGTTTTACAGCATCTAAGCTTTTTAGATGTCTTGAGGTGACAGTGTCTTGAGGTAAAAAAAAAAAAGTAGTGCTGGTGAGTTAACCACCTTGTAAAGTTATTTTTGTTGTATTTAATAGGAAAATATCTTGGACAAGGAATTGTTAAACCACCTCTGAGCAGTGTACATCAGTATTGATGAGGTTGGCTGGGGCAGAAGGAAGAGTAAGGGGAGGGGTGTATGCCGACATGTCCATATTTACGTTTTTATAACCATTGATGGATGTGTGCATCTCTTGGCTGTACTATAGGAATACATTGTTAAATTCAATGGGAATAGCTTGCTAATATTTTAATAGTTAGGGATCTAATAATGAATTCTCTTAGAAGCATTATACTTACTGTACTCTTGCTCTATGTTTCATTTTAAATTGAGCATTATGGAAATGCAGTATTTTAATTGTAACTCTCAATATCTTTATCTAGAGGCCTGTTACCATTTTGTCTTTTATGAAATTTCTGTCCCCAAGAAAGGCAGGACTTTTTTTTTCTTTCTAATTGAGTCAGTGTAGTCTATTCTCGGTTGTCAAAATACTCCTGGCTTTTGGACTTTGTTTCTTTTTTTATTTTTCATTGTGATTCAGGTGCAAGTTTACAGAGCAGAGTTTCTTTTACATTCAACATTACGCGTACCCTTAGTTTCACTCCCCATTTCCATTCTCATCTCTAACCCAGTCTCCTCCCCTCCTTGCCCAGTAACACCCCCCCCTTGCCCCTCATAGTTATGCACTCCTGTTTGTCCTGCATTTCCTCCATGCAAATTCTGCCCCTCTGGTGCCCTGTGGTCGATTGCTCCAAGGGATGCATCTCCATAGATTATGTAAGTGCGTCAAGCTGGGTTGAGTGGTCTGCATGTACATCTTGTTTACTATTGGGCTGAGAGCCAGCCCCTGGGAGTGAGTTTTATTCCAGGCCCAGAATGTATCCCAGGGCCATAGTATTGGGGGTCTCACCAGACTTCATCTAACCAGTAATTCTGGTCATTATTGAGTTTTTGGGTTTTGTTCCACATTTTTCCTCCCATTCTATCCAGGATTTCCAGATTTGATCCTTTCCTGAGTGGTTGGCATTAGTAGCTGGGCACCATCTAGTTCTTCTGGTCTCGAGGGCCATCGTGTCCTGGGGCTGATTGCTTCCAAATGCCCTTGTTTTTGTTTTTGTTTTTTTTTTTGCAGTCTTTGCTTCTGACAACAGGAGACCATCAGCTGCATTTTAGATGGCTGCTTGAAAGCTTTTAAGACCCCAGTCACTACTCACCAATGCAGGATGAAGAACAAGACTTTTATGTATTTTTGTTGTGCCAATTGAGTCTGGTGTCCCCCAATATTATGGTCCTGAGTCAGTAGATCCATTGGATCACTCTCCCAGAGTGTCTGGCTGTCTGTGAGGGATTACTCTATGTCTTCTGTTGTTTTTGTAAGGATTGCAGGTATTTTGTATCACTGGTATCTGTGCAGGATTAGCCTCAGCTGAATCTATCCTTGGTCTAGAGTATACTCCTGTTCACTGACCCCCATCTGATCCTCTCAGATGTTTATGTGTTTATCTGTAGCCTGGTGTTTGGTGTTAATGGTAATGCAATATTGTGGATATACTGGTTGGTATTAGCATCTGTCGTCTATATCTTAAGTGCACAATTTGGTGTCTTCCCTTTTCCTAATGCTATCATGGTGGTCACAGACTCTTTCTATACCATCCCTTCCCTTACCCACATCAGCGTGTGGTCCCCAACTAGCCCGAAATTAATCCTTCCCTTTCCCTCCCCACTCTGGTAATCTACAAAGTGAGTTCCCTTTCTCAAGCAAATCCTTCTTTGTCTTTTGCAGTAATGGGCTCATAGAGTATGTGACCTTCTGCAATTGACTTATTTCACTCAGCAAAATGTCCTTCAGACTCTGGCTTTGGGACTTTGAATTGGTAAATATTCATGATGTGTGAAAAAGCATGAACTCATAATACTGTGTGACCTCAAACGCCTAAGACTGTATGTTCAGTTGGATAAATACATACATAGGATGTGGAAGGACACGCCAAACTGTAGTCACCAAAATGATCTTGGATGCCTTTTGTGTTCTTTGCTTCTTGTGCTTTGCTTTTCAGTTTTATATAATACATGTATTTTAAAATTTTTAAAAGAAAAAAACATTATTTTAAAAATCTGCATGTAGTATAAGTTAGCTTGTTCAAAAGAGGAAAAGAAAAATAGAGAAGCTGGGAAGAGCTTAGTTCCAGAAAAGTTTCTACCTCTTCCTCATAGGGAAAATCAGTGACCCAATGAACAAATGAAATGGAAATATAAACCACCCACCCTAATTTCTGTCTTGTCAGAGACATGAATTCCATAGATGGTTATCATTCTGAATAACTGGAAAAGTCAATTCAATTCCTGCATAAAGGAAATTTATAGAATGGCATTCAATTCACCAAAAACAAATGTTACTCTCACAAGCTGACAACTTCCAGGATGCCCATAACTTCCTTACTTTCTTTCCTTTGCTTCTAACAAAAGCCATGTGCTTGCAGAAGTAAGATCAAGGATGAGAGACTTGGCACTCACACAAGCTCAATGGAGGTCCTCACTCTCTGAAGGAAGCTCTCTCTGCCCAGTGGAATGAAAGTATCCATGAGCCTGAGTACCGGCCTGAGGAAAGAGTGCCTCCCAGCCCACCTTCCACCTCAGTCTTCCCCAACACTGGTCACATGGCTCCCACAAATGCCACCATCTGTAATCTGCTCACATGAGAGAGAAGGAGGCATCACACAGACCAGAGGGAGAAACAAAAAGGCTGAGAAGGACACTGCTGTCCAAAGACAGACACACACATATCACTTCAAAAGCTAACCCAGTATACTATATTAAAACCCAAAGCCCTAGTGGCATAGTGGTTAAGTGCTTGACTGTTAACCTAAAGGTCAGTGGTTTAAATCCTCTAGCCGCCCCATGCAAGAAAGATGTGGCATTCTGTTTGGGAGAGTTTC